TAGTGTGTAATTCGGAATCTTGCAGAAAGAGAAACTAGTAAAGTGGGTCTCGCTTATTAGCATTATGTCAATGTGATTCAAAGTGAGGAAAGTAGTTAATTCTAGCTTGTGCTGTAGGAGCCCATTGGCATTCCAAAGTGCAATTCTTATAAATTTAGCCATTACGGATTAATTTTATTTAATACAGTTGTTAGCAGGTTTAAAACCACACCATTTTGATGAATTAATTGATTAAACATCTGTTTGAATTCGTGCATGAACTGAGCGAAGCTTGCAGATATGCCTGAAGCAGACTCTGGATTAACGTTGTTATTTAACGCCTGTGCATATGTTCGAGGGTGACCTTGATTAGCGATCTGATTTGGATTTAGATTCGGGTACAGGTTAGTGGTAATAGTTGGATTAACCGTATGTCTGTTTGTTGGATTTTTGGTTTATAAACGTTTGTGGTGTATTATGATTCATTTTTGGAAATTTTTGATTATATACCTTCTTATATGCTGGGCATCCACGATAACTAGCTGCATGATCTCCGTCGCAATTTGTACAAAAATTTAATACATTTTCAGGTTTCTTGCAGTCTGATGTAGTATGATTGTTACCACAACGGGAACAAGTAAACGGCTTATTGCAGTAACGTTGAGTGTGACCGAATTGTTGGCATCTTTTGCATTGCACAACGGATTTATTATAGTGTGGCGGTTCTATACGAATTATGTTGTTAAGAATCTTTGTTACGCTGTATATGTCTTTGTTATTTTTTGCGGGTTCAAGATCAAGGTAAAATAAATTTAGTGGCTTTCTAGTTTCTCTGTGTAGTATATTTGTAACGTTTCTTACTTCATGACCTATCCTCACGAACTCATTCTTGATTTCTGCTAAATCTGTGGTATGATGTAAATACCTGATTACAACACGATACGCCCTTTCCTCTTTTAGTTGATAAGTATGATGAATAACATTTGTTGCACGCAAATGTTTAGTTAGTTTTCTGAAAACATCAGAATTCTGACACATTATTTAGTTACATTATTATTTAAGGAGCGGAAAGTGTATTGTTCGATATCAATAATAGTGTTGATTTCGTCCATCATATCTTTATAATTGTCGACGCCGTAAATAAAAATCGGTGGAGGTCTTTGGTTGGTTGTTGAGAAATCATTATTATTGGTAGTATTGATAATAGTGCTTGGCAACTGATTTATGCTATTTAGCGGTTCGAATCTATTTGACAGAGTTACCGGAGTGCTATTAGTATCATCAGATAATTTACGCTTCTTACTTTGTACAATTTTTTTTTTGTTGTAACAAGTTGCCACGAATGTCTCGGATTAGTGTACAAATATTTTCCGTATTGTATGTTTGAACCTTAGTTAATTGTTTGGGCATATTTTGATTTTGACTACATACCAGCTTTGAAGCAGTCACTGCAGGGTCTTGTGAAATGCATTGAATAGCTTGTTCAATATTGGCTACTTGCATTAGATCGACGTCCATATTGGTATTTGATGTTGAAATATGCTTATTAGCAGACGAAAGTTCTGTTTCCTTCCTTCGACGCAATTGTTCATTGACATATTCAGAACATGTTAGTGAATCGTCGTAAAGCACGTTATATGTTTCCGTAATGGAAAATTTGTCCATAGTGTCCCCCGCAGGGTGACACTTCTCTAAGTTGTGTAAAGTTAGCACAGTGATTTGTCAAAAATATTTACACAAAAACACTGATTAATCACACTGAAACTAGGTATAAAGATCACTAGACACTCACAGCGCGTGTTTGATTTGCCATAAATCAATTTTTAATATTTATTATGGTTTAAATCCGCCAAAAAATTACTTTAAATAAACTAGGCGAAAATCAAATGACAGAAACAAATGAT